TTTTTATAATTAATTTATATAAATAAAAAATTAATTTTATTTTCAACAATAATACTAAGTAAATGATTTAAATAAAGCAATTTAAGTAATTTAACACTTCTTTTTATGACAAACTTAACATCACTTTGTATATCATTTATGTAGACAAGATATTCACATATCATTACATATGTGCTAAGAATTGATTTTGTCCACGCAAGAAAAGTATAAATGAGTGTTAAGCTTACAATAAGAAAGATAATTAAATTATTCAGTGGACAAATTTAAGAGTTTATTTGTTTCAATAAAAATTTAAAAATTTAATCAAGAATCTAAAATAAATTTAAAAACTTAATGTTAGGTTTTAGCTAAAAGCTACTTTAAAAGTCAATTTTTAAAATTTGTTAGAATTTTATTCTAAAAAAAATTTAAATTTATCAAAGAATTAATTACTTTTAAAGTAAATGTTTTTTAAACTCCAGTGAACATATTCATATACTCGTAATAATCTTTTAAACATTAAAGGTGTGTTTGATTGAGCACTTCTCCTAAATATAGAATTTGGGGAAGTTAAGCCAAAATTATTTTCGACTTAGTTCGTGATATGTAGTCTTTCTAAGAAGGTGGATGTAAGTAATTGCTAATTGTGGCAATTGGTTATAGAAGTTTGAAAACTCATTCCCAAAAAAAAAATTCCAGAAAATTAAAACTTTCCAGGTAATATAATTCAATAAAAATTAAAAGTAAATAATTATATCCATATTTATCTAAAATAAATTTATAACCAATTATAAATTTAATTGATTTTTGTGCCAATTAATTAAAAGAAAAAGTGACCGTCAGCCTTACTTCCTAAAGATTAAAAAGAAAATCATTCTAAAACTACGTCGTTTCAATAACTTTTTATTGAAAAAAACTAAATTACCTTATTTTTAAAGCATGCATTAAGGTGATATTTGTCCTTTTTTCTCCTAATTTTAGAGAGGTAAAACGGATAAACACTAACCCCTAAATCAAAATCTTAGGCCAAGCCAAAACAATTTTGTGGCGTGACTTTCCCAGATTCCTTTTTCTAGGAAAGGGACAAACCTAACATTCCCTAACAAATAGAGAACACCCAAAAAATAAAAAATGAAGATTTTTCGAACTCAGAAGTCAGAAGTAAAGGGCGATTTAGTATGGTTCTAGTTTTTGTTAAAACGAATTTTTTTAATTTGTGTCT